CCCGCGCCCCCTTCTTAACATTGACGACAGACCTCTTGGGGCGGTGCAAGATTTATGTCATTGGAACGATTTTGTAAATCCCCGTGTTCATAGCAATGTTAAGAAGGGGGCGCGGGGTGAAGCTAACTAACATATCTTAAAAGTGGTGCAAGATTTCCTCCATCCACAGTCCCCAGAGCGGGGTCTAGCTTTGGCCTGCTCGTGGCTTTCCTACATGGCTTGCAGATACTTCCAGTCAGGGCAACGTTGCATAGAAGTCACAGTCAACGTTCAGTTAACGTTCAGTCAACGTTACAGTCAACGTTCCAGTTAACGTTGCGAAAATGCTGGCAGGGGCAGCATTTTGGAGTTTTCAAGCATAAAAAGCAAGAAATACATGTATTTCTTGCTTTTTATGCTTGAAAACTCCAAAATGCTGCCCCTGCCAGCATTTTCGCAACGTTAACTGGAACGTTGACTGTAACGTTGACTGAACGTTAACTGAACGTTGACTGTACGTTAACTGCAAATTCCTACCAAATGTAGCAAAGTTGTGGAATTCTTGCGATTTTAGAATGACCTGGCTGCTGCGCAAGATGCACTGTCAGGGCTGCATGGCTCCATTAGCGAAGACAGCGACATGGACGCTGCTATACGGCGATTCAGATTTTGCTGCAATGGCATTTCATGGCAAGCCACACAAGTACGTCACGCACCATGTCACGACCCTCTAGAAACGTCATATCACGAGCCTCTAGAAACGTCATTACTCGAGTCGTCCCCAGAGCGGGGTCTAGCTTTGGCCTGCTCGTGGCTTTCCTACATGGCTTGCAGATACTTCCAGTCAGGGCAACGTTGCATAGAAGTCACAGTCAACGTTCAGTCAACGTTCAGTCAACGTTACAGTCAACGTTCCAGTTAACGTTGCGAAAATGCTGGCAGGGGCAGCATTTTGGAGTTTTCAAGCATAAAAAGCAAGAAATACATGTATTTCTTGCTTTTTATGCTTGAAAACTCCAAAATGCTGCCCCTGCCAGCATTTTCGCAACGTTAACTGGAACGTTGACTGTAACGTTGACTGAACGTTAACTGAACGTTGACTGTACGTTAACTGCAAATTCCTACCAAATGTAGCAAAGTTGTGGAATTCTTGCGATTTTAGAATGACCTGGCTGCTGCGCAAGATGCACTGTCAGGGCTGCATGGCTCCATTAGCGAAGACAGCGACATGGACGCTGCTATACTATACGGCGATTCAGATTTTGCTGCAATGGCATTTCATGGCAAGCCACACAAGTACGTCACGCACCATGTCACGACCCTCTAGAAACGTCATATCACGAGCCTCTAGAAACGTCATTACTCGAGTCGTCCCCAGAGCGGGGTCTAGCTTTGGCCTGCTCGTGGCTTTCCTACATGGCTTGCAGATACTTCCAGTCAGGGCAACGTTGCATAGAAGTCACAGTCAACGTTCAGTTAACGTTCAGTCAACGTTACAGTCAACGTTCCAGTTAACGTTGCGAAAATGCTGGCAGGGGCAGCATTTTGGAGTTTTCAAGCATAAAAAGCAAGAAATACATGTATTTCTTGCTTTTTATGCTTGAAAACTCCAAAATGCTGCCCCTGCCAGCATTTTCGCAACGTTAACTGGAACGTTGACTGTAACGTTGACTGAACGTTAACTGAACGTTGACTGTACGTTAACTGCAAATTCCTACCAAATGTAGCAAAGTTGTGGAATTCTTGCGATTTTTGAATGACCTGGCTGCTGCGCAAGATGCACTGTCAGGGCTGCATGGCTCCATTAGCGAAGACAGCGACATGGACGCTGCTATACGGCGATTCAGATTTTGCTGCAATGGCATTTCATGGCAAGCCACACAAGTACGTCACGCACCATGTCACGACCCTCTAGAAACGTCATATCACGAGCCTCTAGAAACGTCATTACTCGAGTCGGTGGATGGAGGAAATCTTGCACCACCTACACATCTTGTTTCGAATACACATCCAAGCAACAACCCCGCGCCCCCTTCTTAACATTGACGACAGACCTCTTGGGGCGGTGCAAGATTTATGTCATTGGAACGATTTTGTAAATCCCCGTGTTCATAGCAATGTTAAGAAGGGGGCGCGGGGTGAAGCTAACTAACATATCTTAAAAGTGGTGCAAGATTTCCTCCATCCACAGTAGTACTAGTACTAGTACTAGTACTAGTAGTAGTAGTAGTAGTAGTCGTAGTAGTAGTAGTAGTAGTAGTAGTAGTAGCAGTACAGAAGAAGAAGTAGTAGTAGTAGTCGTAGTGGTAGTGGTAGTGGTAGTGGTAGTGGTAGTAGTATAGTAGTAGTAGCAGCAGCAGAAGTGGTAGTCGTCGTAGTGGTGGCAGTAGCAGCGGTAGCGCCGGTGCTGGTGCTGGAACTAGCTGTAGTAGTTGTTGTTTTACTAGCCGTGGTGATAGTAGGTGGTAGGAGCAGCAGCAGTACAGAAGTAGTAGTAGTAGTAGTAGTAGTAGTAGTAGTAGTAGTAGTAGTAGTAGTAGTAGTAGTAGTAGGAGTAGTAGGAGTAGTAGGAGTAGCACTAGCACTAGCACTAGCACTAGCACTAGCACTAGCACCAGCACTAGCAGCTGCAGCAAAATCAGCAGTCGTGGTGGTTTAGCAGTCCTGCACTGCCTCGCAGAAACCAGATCAACAGCTGCAGCGGTCACAGCTGACCATGCGTCAGACGTCATACCTTTACTTCCGTTTCTGCAGTCGCAAACAAACTGCAACAGCACCGTGCTTTTTTGCTACCCTGTTGCCGCAGTTGCTGGCATAGAGCCATTGGACCTGGAACCTGTCTGCACGCAAGGTGCGCAGAGAAGGTGCCCCACGCGAATAGTAACCAGACGCATGTACAGGACTGCCTGCCGAATGCTGCAGACGTGATTTGTTTGGTTACTGCCTGTGCCGGTTCTGGAGGAGCCTGAGGCAAGTGCAGCAGAAGGCCTGGGCTTGAACTTGGACTGAGTCTTTCGGTTCGGGAGGCTTGGGAACTATAACTAGCAGCTACGGACAGCTTGGGATCTGTGCCGGAGGCCCACTCACGCCAAGCTTGCCGCAAGCCACAGGCTGGTTCGTGGGATTTACGTTGAGCCAGCCCCTATGGTGCTGTTCAACATGTTTGCCTGCTCTTGACAGCGAACCAGGCAGCCAGAAGTCTGTATCGAGTTCAGTGCGCATCTCGATGGAGCTCCTTTCCTGAATAAACTTTGACACAGCTGCCGTCCATCATATCATTGCAAACATGTCGTCTGTACTGGCTGCCTTGCTTGTGCTGCAAATAACGATTGCGACCTTGGTGAGGGGCCAATGCCAGGGCACAGGTCAATGCCGTGACAGTACCCGCCACAGAAGCGAAGAGTCCCCAGCCAGGGAAAGCCGAAATCTGTCCAGGCATTTCCCTTCTCCGAGGGCATCCAGTCACTTGTCCATTCCGGCTTTTCCTGATCCCGGAAGCGCGGTTGCAATCAATGTAGACCCGAGTCGAACAGTTCTGGACTTTGGCAGGGCTGGAAGTTGACAGGTGTGAGGATGATCCGTGTGGTAAGGCCTCAGTGCCTCAGTGCTGTCGACGGCATCTAGGGACTCGGAATAGTTTCCTGGACTCCAAGGCATTTCGGAAGATAGCTCGTCGACAGCAGGCTCCCTGCATGAGCATTGCCTGTGTGGGAAGCTGCCTGAGATTGGAGTCGCAGTTCTGTGGTGTGGATCTGGCAGGCTCTTGCACGGATGGGAAACAAAGTGCCCGAGCTCGAGCGATCGCACCTTGGAGCTTCAATTCAGCCTCAGATCATGGCGGAGTCGACCATGTCGATGTCTTCGGACTTGCAGAATGGCATGGTGACGACGATTTTTCGATATCTGTCGTGATGAGGATGTTGCACGACATGACTTTAGACATGCGAGCAGAGTAGGCAATGCAACAGTGCTGAAGCAAACACAGGGTCCTCCCCCCCGCATGTGATGCGAAACGACCGAGGCACAGTCCGTCTGTCGCTGGCAGCTCGACATGACCCAGCGACAGAAGCGACAGAAGCGCAACTTTCGCCTTTAAAAGCAGCCTGCAAGGAGCGGGGGGCAACCCCCCCCCACCTTTTAAGCCACAAGAGTGTGTGACACCATGCGAAAAAGGGGGGGGGGGGAGTTGCATCGCATCCTAAGCTGACTGAGGCTCTGCCAGGCTTGCTGGGATACACTCATTGGCGTCTCCACCATCGCTGCGTCCCAGCAGTACAAGCTTCAGGTTGGTAATTGTTGCAGCATAGTTTCTGATGCCGTTAATCGGCGGATGCTGGCACTGGTTCCATAGCACGTGCTGTGAAGGGCTGCCAGGGTCCAACCTCCGCGCGAAGTCCCAAGCCTGTTGCAAAAAGGTTGGTGCTAGCCGAAGTGAGGACCCAACCTGGAAGGCGATAGCTGGTTGTATCATGTATCATGACAATGTTTCAGTGTTTGACACCAGTCGATGCAGATCTCGGCATGCGCAGCACTTTGTCCAATGCTGCATCGCATCTGAGGCACTTGTATCCATTACCCTCTGCCAAGCCATCGTCATACTATTCGTCTTCATTTTCGATGCTTGGACCAGCGAGACATGTGGACATCATGAGAGCATGACCGCATGAATGCATGAGGGAAGATTCTCGAAGCGACGTTTCGGAGTCGCTTGTCGCTTTCTTCGTAGCAAGCCTAGGATTTGGTCTTCATCGAGTGACTTCGCCCGCAAACCTGGGCTGTGTCAGACGGCTACGTGCAAGGTGCATCACGGTGCATACGTAGGTGGATCCGCAGACTCAAATGTAGATGTGACAGCAGAGATTGTCATATGCTGGGTAGAGGTGAGCAGTTCTGGTTGTTCAAAGTGCCGGTCGCAGGCGATGTCCCGACCTTGCAAGAAGGAACTGAATGCATGCAGGAATGGTCGTTTTATTAGTTTCAGCCCAAGGAAGTATGCCACTTCAAGCTTGTCTCGGCATTTCATGCTGGCTGCTGACCCTTTCCTACAATTGGCTAATGTCATGCCTGTGGAAACTGAGTATTTCGGCAGAGCTTGCACCATTCGTTAGTGCTTTGCATGGAAGGCCTGTGCAGAGACCCGGGGGGGCACGGCCTCGGCAGCCAAGGAGAACGCTACCTGCCTGAGCAGCAGGCGGCTGACAGCTCTCACGGGCGACATGCTCCCTTCCGAGTGTGCCCGTGAGGTGGTCAGGCCGGCCCTTCACGTGCCAACCACTCCTTGCTCTCATTGCAACTTCCGTACGTCTTACTTTGCACCTCCATGCTATACGCCCTATGTCACCACATGTCACTATGTCTCGGCTCGTCCCCATGCGCACCTGGAAGATAGAGGGTGATGGCCACGCCTGGCTTTGTCTAACATAGGGCAGGGTGCGACTCACAGGTCCACGTCGCTGGCAGCTTTCAGCATGGGCCCTCCGAACTCAGTGGGGCTTCGCGCTTGCTATCCGCAGGCCGGATTTGACTTCCGCAGTGCCGTCAAGTGCTTTGCAAGAAGTTGAAGCGTGGCTGGTCGGAGCCTGTACAGGATGGACTGGAGGAGCTGTCCTATGCAGCAACTTTGCAGCTCATGTTGTTCCCTTAGCACCTCTTCGTTAAGACTCCTCGTTGACGGTAAATTGTCTACGGAGGTGCCTTTAAAGCTACTCGTGTCCCAGAGTCCCGGAACCAGATACACGTCAAGAGTCACCCAGGACGTGTTCTATGGCACGGATGATGCCATCTGCGAGTGGATGGACAATCCTAGCTTCGATTTCTTCGTGATTGAGAAGCAGCAGCCCTGCATCTTGGAAAGCGTCTTTCACTTAAGAGACTGAGCCCAGCCGACCGATGACTGTAGCAATTTGCGAGATGTAGTGCGGAAGGAGGACGGGGAGGGCCCAGTCCAAGTACTCCTCTGCGAGGCAGCATTTTGGGCCGTGGCACGTCGCTCATCATCAGCAATGCCACGGCTTTCTCTCACCGTGTTTCAGACGATCTGGAAAGGGTCCCATGCCAGCACTGCGTAAGTTCAAGCCGTGGGGCATCTGCATCTTGCCACCGCAGTCTTTGACTGGTGACCTGTGATCAACATTGTTGAGCCCCGTGCGGGTGTGAGATAGCTAGTCATTCTGGGGGCGTGCATCGACTTAACGGGCAGAAGATGCTTGTCATACATTTTCAAAGCACGTACTGTCGTTGGAGTGCTGGTGCCCACCGCTGCAAGCCACACGCGCCCAGCAAGAAAAAGCATGTGCATACAATGTCAAAGAAGTATTGTTTTTGGGTAGTCACTCATGCATCTGTCAGTGGCTATTCGAGGCCCTGTCTTCCTACTGCAGTCCTTGCGGTGCCGTGGCATGACTTGGGGCTCAGATCAGTCTGAGCAGGGTCTTGTGTGCTACCTGTGCTGAGTGCGTGTGGTAGTGGTACAGGCTCCTCCTACTGGAAGATGCCTAGGGTCTAGGTCTGTCCTTTGGTTTTGAGCGCTGCGGTGAGCTGGAGCGAGGCGATCTAATGGCTGGTGCCGTGGAGGTGGCAAGGAAGATGCTCATGGTAGACGTTCTGGCTGACACCTCAGTTTGGCGTATCTGCAGTGACCGGGCCGTTACATGCTGCACCCGATTGAAGAACCTGATTGGACGAAATTCTCCAGGTGCTCGCTTGGGCGAAAAGTGAATGTGTGCGATTCAAGCGGTGCAGCCCCTTTCCTGCTTGCTCAGCTTTCAGGTGCATCGGTCCCTGGCTTTAGCTTCGCCTGGTTTGCGCCGCATCGCTGCTGCCTCTATGGCCACGGAGACTGAAACCCAATGATGCTAAATTGCTAAAATCTGCTAGATGCAGGGTTTTGTCGAAGAACAGGCAATTTGCCATTGCTGTTCTGTCTGTCGCACTGCGAAACAGTGATACCAGGCATTGGGATCTGCCTTGGCCGTGCTGCTCCTGACTTTGCTCGCAGCTTGGCTCAGCAAAAACAGATAATTCACGTCTGCAGTACTTACACTGAGTTTATGATCCTGTCTATTAGACGGCTCCCCGGCTGGAAGCGAAAGGAAAAGGAGGCAAGCCCGGGGCCCTGAGCTGCTTACGGTTGGTTTGATGGCAATGTGGTGCTGGATGACTCCAGGCCCTCGCACATGTGAGGTTCGCATCCCTGTCAAACAAGGATGCCTTCTCCTTCCTGTCCCTGGCCCTCGAGATGCTGAGACTGCGCAGCATCGGACGCATGGCCTGCAGTTTTATTGGAGGGCGAGGATGGATCTCAACTCAGCATGTCGATTTTGCATCCGTTGGAGGCAGCGACAGCGAAGGCGCATTTAACTAGAGCGCCGCGTTCGTCAAGAAGTGTTAAACCCCGAGACTTGCTAACACAAGCATCTGTGACAAGCCCAATCGATCCCCAGACCACAGACCTGATTCTCTTGCTCAGGGTTTGTTGGGTCGCCACTCCATTTCGCAGTCGTGGTCACCATTGGCCAGGTTCCGTGGATGTTACCGTGTTTAGGAGGTCCTAAGCTTGCTACCGTGAGCAGCTTGGTAGCGGACGTTTGGAGGGCTGAAAGCGTGAACTTCAGGGGCAGCTCTGAGTGGACAGGTGCCCCAAGGAGGTTGTGAGCATTTTGTTCGATGAGGGCGAAGGTACACATGCTTGGGAGTTCAGCTGATCTGGTGGGAGTCTTTTGCAGGTGTGCCGAGAAACTTGACAACCGTACGAAACGCAACGATACCTGACAAGTAATTAAGAAAGCAGATCATCGGTGGTCAAGGACTTCCTTGGCACAACACTGTGACCAGCAGCCTCTTTTTTTTGCGTGAGAGGGTGCTTCTGCATCGACAACGAGCCGCGCCTCGAAGCAAAGAGATTTCCTTGTTGAAATCCCCTTCCTCACTGCAAGGCTGTTGAGCAGCTGGGCCTCCTGGTGCTGCATTCCCTGATCATGGCCGGCATGTCCTTTCAGCTGGAGCTAGCCAACGACTTTCGACTTTGCACGCAAGACCCGGGCGACACCATGTTCAAGCATCGTCGAAGAGTGTTCTAAACGGCATGCCCTGCAGGATCTTCATCTCTTGTGCTGGCCGTCAGCTGAGGATTTTTGGCCAGAGCTGCACTGCACCCGCAGTACAGTATCGTCTGAGACCCTCGGCACATGATAGGCACTGTCGATCCGGTGATCCTCAAAACTGCAATCGAACCTTGTCCCTGCAACCGTCCACGCCAGTGAAATTCACAAGCACATACAAGCATACTGGCGGTCATGCCATTGGAAATTTGCACTGGATCGAGGAGTGTCCCTAATGCCTGGCATCAAGCGGCTCGCTGGACGGGGACTGCCTTGGTCTTCTTCGAACCTGGGGCCTGCATTTGGCCTTCTCTTTCCATGCAAAAGTACCTACCAGTATGGTTCATGTTTTGGACATACCGATGAAGAAGTACGACCCAGACACGCACGCGGAGCCTTGCTGAATCGCACAATTTTCGAATCTGGCTCATTATCACTTAGTAGGAAAGGCGCATGTGAATTCTGGAGGGGCTGGGCCAAAAAGAAGAAGAAGAACGCTCACCTGAATGGCGTCAGGAATGAATTGCAACAGAACTCATCACATCAACACCGCTTTGGCGGTGATGGTCGCAACACAGAAACCCGGCCGCGGGCCGTGGGTGTCATGAAAGCCATCCGGCTGAAGGCTAAGGAGCCTAAAACACCGTCAAGTACCGATGTTCATGTTGTAACTCTCTCACTCTCTCGCTCGTTCGCTCGGTTTGTGCGGGTGCTTGGGAGGCTGCCGGCATGTCAGTCTTCTTCGCGCTGTGCATCCTGGGGGGCTATGTTTACCGATTTCATGGCCTGGTGCCTGCTGGACCCTTGTCCGAAGAAGCCCGCTTCGATACATTCATGGACTGCCTGGTGCATGATGTCTTTCCGAATCACGCCCCCGATGTTGCTTTTTGTTTCCGCCTAGGCTGGCTTGCATCCGTCCTGTACAATCGTGACGTGAAGATGACTCGCTTTGCTGCGGCTCCGCTTTCGATGTCCGACTACAGGCAGGGAGAATCATACGGCGGCATGATTCCTAGCCTGGAAAAGTTTGCCAGGCATGAAACCCTTGCCGTGGATCCAGCAGAAGCTGAAACAGTAAGGCCGCGACCTGAGCTGCATAACACAGAGCAACATAAGATGTGGTGAAACTCGGCCGGAGAGATGTGTTCCAGTAGACTCAGCCCCTCGCCGGATTTGGGCCGAAACGCCTTGCATCTGTAGTGGGATTTGGAAACTGATGCACGGAGAATCCACCGGGCCGGAACCTGCTTTGCTCAATGCGGGCCAAGGACCTCCCTCCTCCGACCTGGCCTTGGTGTCGCTGCATCTCTGGGTTGCTCGCGCTCGTAAGCGGGGGAGGAATGTCCTAGTCCTACGGTTTAAGCAGTGCGGACAGGGGGGCTAATTGGTTGAAATGGGAGGGAGATGCCGGTTTCTCTCCATGGCTAAGCTTTTTAGATCAGCTGAGATCACGCGTGCACCATCCTGCAGAAAGCGTGTGATGAGGCGTAGCATAGATGAATCGTAGACTCTGCCTTCCATTGTTGTGACAGCCTTTCAGAAAAGTATAGCAAGTATGGCCATTGACAGATTGATAGTGCGTGGAATAACTGACCTGCCAGGCTTCTGGCACCAGAAGATGAGCTACATCTTTCAGGCCGCATGGGCCTGCATCCAGATACTTGCCAGGCTTTCCAGAAGCCCTGATCGCAATTTGGGTGTGCTCTTTCACGTTCCTCAGGTGGGCCGGAGGTTGGAGTGGTACTTGCCTGCTCTCCCGGACACAGATCCGAAGACCATTGCATTCACCTCCGACTGCGTGAGCTGGACTGCTGTTCGGGGGGGCTGTCGTTCTGGTCTCTTGAACAGGTTGATGGGTACCATGCACCACTGATGTAGTGTCATCTGTTCATCCTAAGTACTGCGGCACTGTTTTTGCACAACGGAGGTGGCATGCAGAGTTGGTCTTGAGGTTTGGCTCGTCCCATTCGCACCAAAATGGTGTTGAGTGTTCTTGAATGTTCTTGAATTCTCAAAATACTTGCGGGTTTACCACGTGCGTGATGGCTGTGCCGAAGTCTGCAAAGGTCAGGGCAGAGAGGAAGACGGACATGCTTCCAGATGGTGGCGACATGTTTCCGGGCCGGTGGTGGTCTATTGTTTTGATCAACTCCACCGCTCGAAGTCTGGTTACCGTGTGCGTACCTTCATCTTCTCCTCGTGCTGCCAACTGGCTAGACATCAGCACTGTCCTCATTTTCAATCCCCAAGTGTAGCATGCACAGCGCTTGGACTTCTTCCTAGTTGTCACATAGACATAGCCCTGAATGCAGAGAGCTTGCGCTTTAGGCAGCGACCTGAGCTGAGGACCGAGAGCCCGTCCCTGCTTTGTTTGGAGTCGGCCTTCTCTGAAACCTCAAAGGCTCCAAAGGCCCCGAAGTGGAACGCTTTTGCCTAGATCAAGCCATGGAAAACATGCTACCGCCAGAGGCTGCAAGGCCCTTCAAAGCGCCTCGCATGGCCGAGAAGGCCGAGAGTCCGCTGGTCACGAGCTTGCCGACAACTCCTCCCACAGCAGTGACACCACCGAATTTCAACAGAGTGTTTGAGTCTCCAAGTCCGCAGCATGGCGAAGGCAAAGGTGCTACAAGCAGTCCAGCTGCCCCTAGCGGTGCTATAGCCAAAAGTCCCGCAGCCTCTGCTGCCGTATCTGGAAGTCCTGCAGCCTCATGCGGAAGTCCTACGTGGATGAGCCCAGTTCGTCGTCTCGCACGAGTAGCGGAATTGCAGGCCATCAGCAATCATCAAGAAATCGAATTGGCAAGGGAACGGTCAAGCGAGCGGTCCAGAACAGCATCTGTCGCAGAAGGTTTGTTCGATACAATCAAGAGCAAAAAAACGAAGAAGAATCTGCCAAAGCCTAACCCAGTGCAGGACCCAGTGAAGGATACAGTGCAGGATCCAATGAAGGATACAGTAGCAATACAAGTACTACATGACTTTCACCCCTGGCTTGAGTTCCTGTGCATCGGTCTCTACGAATCGGCTCTCATTGACTGCAAGCCGACCGAGATGGACATAGCAAGAATGCTTGACGAAGCACGTCAAGCATTCAAGAAAGAGTCTGGCAAATTGAAGGACTTCCTGAGTTCACGCCACCTGAAGTTGCTGAGCTCCCAGAAGGTATTACTGCGGAATACCCGAAGCGATCATTTCAGGATGCTCACGTCGCATGTAAATATGAACGAAGTTCTCCAAATCGTTTGATTTAGAGGCCGATTTGGTAAGAAATAGGAATACGAGGCCGCGCCAAGAGGGTATGAAAATGGGCGGCCTCGTATTCCCATTTCTTACGAAGTCGGCCTCTAGATCAAACGATTTGGAGAACTTCGTCCATATCTACATGCGACGTGAGCATCCTGAAATGATCGCTTCGGGTATTCCTTTCGCTAGTCGTCTTGATACTCAGCAATCCCGTGAACTGTACAAAATCAAGGCGATGGACATTCTGAAGAATATTGCATGCCGTGGTGCAAACATGTCTCTAGCTGATTTGCGTCATGAACGACGAACGCTGGATGTGAAGCGCGTGACTGCAAACAACGCCAAACACAATCCGATGCGACGTCCTGCATCCCACAAGCATCCCGCTGCAGTGATTGATGTCCCCTAGCCATAGTCTTGTTTTTTGGATTTGATGGCTCCGATGTACAGGCATTTTGAGTCTACAGTCGCGAATTGCATGCCTTGTACAGAAACCTGTTATAATCAAGCTTCGGCCACTTCGACCTCCGGAGGCTGGAGATCAAGGTTGATGTCCCCTAGACATGTTCTTGTTTTTTGGACTTGATGGCTCCGATGTGCAGGCATTTTGAGTTTACAGTCGCGAATTGCATGCCTTGTACAGAAGCCTGTTATAATCAAGCTTCGGCCACTTCGACCTCCGGAGGCTGGAGATCAAGGTTGATGTGCCCTAGACATGTTCTTGTTTTTTGGACTTGATGGTTCCGATGTACAGGCATTTTGAGTCTACAGTCGCGAATTGCATGCTCTCCAACTTGCAGGATAAGGCCGCTGCAGCAGGCTTCTGAACCTGTGATTTCAGTCAAGTAGTAAGTCTTTAAGCTTCTACTAAGCCTCTAAGTTCTCCATATATATTACATATTATGTGGAGACCGGACTCTTCTCCACGACAAAGCTGCTGCTTTCACTGCGAGTTCTCCGAGTACAGCCGCCTTGCATCCGTTTTCAGGTTCAGGGTGCAATGCTTTTAGGTGTATGGCTTGGCCTGAGCCTGTGGTTTGGAAGAATCCCGTTCAGTTTTTCAGGATTCCAGGTTCGTTGGTTGAGTTCGGTGGGGTCTCTAAAAACAACTCTCGAAGGATGGCCCTTGTCCGGGCCACGGTGCAGAGCCTCTCCGTTGCTTGGCTTCTGCTGCCTTTCGGAGCACTGCCGGCCCGAGCCTGTCTCTACTTGAACGAGCGCAGCCATGGCCGCATTATTCACGATCCGACTTATTACTTCTTCATAATTAACTACTAATCATCAGTTATTACTTATATTTCTTACTACGACCATCACCATCGACTGTAAACTGAATGCTTTGCGATTCTGCAGGCCGTCGGGAAACAGTTCAGTGAGCGGCTTGCAACTCAGGTATTCTTTTCGCAGCCGGAACCGATGGTGTCGTGTTCGCAAGGGGGTTAACATCTACGGAGTCTAGTGGTTGCGCGAGTAGAGTAGCACGAACGGGAGTGCCGCCCGCCGTGAATCATGCGAAGCGAAGGCTAGCCTCCTGACTCCAGGCGGTAACTCTGCGGACGAAGCAGATGCCCTCATGCAACATGCTTTGGAGGACTGCGCAGCAGGTCCACGATTCTTGATCGAAGTCGCCAATTGTTGAGTCCACTCATTGGTGGTTTATGTGGGACATCGTGAGAGGCTGTGACAGGCAATGTTGTTGTTTGCAGTGCCCTTTTCGATACGATGGGAGGACGTTGGCATCTTCTGGCAGACCTCAGGATGGTTGGCGGCCATGGGCCATTTTGCCCCTCAGCCTCTCCTGTAAAGGTCGCACGATGAATGTGGTCGAACAAACATTGGCTATACTAGCCGACTGCCCCCAACAAACAACGATGGTGGTGACCTGGTGGTTTTATTTGTAAGCTTCGTTGGATGGTGCAAGTGCTTCGAGGTGACGCTGCTGCTGCTGCTAGCGGTGGACTTCCTGATCCTGGCGCACGATCCACGCGAGCAGCTCATCGCAGGGCTCCTTGCCACAGGCGTCAGGGGTCCTTGCTATTCCTTTCCAACTTGTGCAATTGGTGAACTCGCGACTCACACGTCTTCTGACCGAAGTTTAGAAGGGCTTCGCCTTCGATCTGCCGGACCCGTTCCTGTCCATGCCGACGCGGCTGTCAGGAGCCGGCCTTGCAGTGCTGCGCGCAGCTCTGAGTCAACTCCAGGCTCCTCGGCCGAGTGCAGAATGGGAGAGAGCTCTTGCTTCTGCTACAGCTAGTACTAGAAAAATGTCGACTCCTCCTCTCTTTTTGCAGGGCCTGGAAGCTTGTCGACACCGCCACGGGCTCGTTTCGAGCTTAAGCGCCTATACCGGGCACTCCGGGCACACGGCATGTGGGATTGCGACAGCTTTTGGGCTCAGGTCGCAGCCTGCAGCGAGATCCTACAGGACTTGTGTCGGAGATGGTCGTCCCGTGGGCTGTCACATCAAGCTTCATCTGCAGATCCAACTCCCGCACCTCATGACGAGAGGACGCTTTGCCTTCACGGGTTGTCCAAAGCCACACTCGTGCGCAGCTCAAGACGCATCCCAGGCGTGGGGCTTGTCGCGGCCCATTGTCAGCGTCAGTCTGTCTGTGTGTGTCCGTGTGTGTTACACTTCCTAGTTCATGGAAGCAGGGGTTTACACTTAGCGACCTGCATGCATTCAGGACCGTTGTCACATTGTCGCACCACAATTACTGTCAGTTTTCAAGCAGGGGCACACAGCACTTGCACCCACTGTGCCGCAACGACTATGCAAGTGGGAAGGGGACGCAGACCTGGTCAGTAAGCAAGATTAAGTTAGCAGTGCCGCGGCCAACGTTTTGGCAGCCAATTCATGGCCTAACAGTGACCACAGCTTGGAACCCAGCACGTCATTAGCCAGTGGTTCGCTCCCAACAGAGTGTCTCTGCGCGCATGTGACACGAAAGCTGTGTACGGAAGCAAGCGCGAATCTGCAGCGCAGGTCTCGGAGCGAGGAGCAAGCAGACGCATTGGGAATACGGCCATGGCATGCAGGCTGGCTGCATGTGGGCCCCGACTGCTCTCAGCGCCCATCGCGTGGCAGGCTTTCCCTTCGTAAAGGCTGTGACTTCGCAGCGCCACGAGAAGCTAACACCCCTGCCCGTGAGGCTTCGTGGGTGTTTGTGTCAATCAAAGATTACTGAGTCCGGGGATTGACAAAACAGAGACGGTTTGCATTTCTGGGTAAGATCATGAACTGTAGCCAGTAGTGCTACAGCTTGGCGCGATGCTGTTGTCGTCGTTGTCTGTCACTTTACCCGGCCAACGTCCCAAGCCCGATTTCTGGGTCGAGTCAAGGGAGTTCGTTGAAGTCGTCCGGTGAAGAAACTGTCTGCAATGGCAGGCTGTCAGCTTGTTGCTGGTCTGCACGTTTTGCTTCTCCCATTCTTCACCCCGCACAGGAAACGGAAGCCGCTAGCTGCGAATGAATTAGTTTACATAGGAAACGCCTGTCCCATCGGCGACAGGCGAGGAGACAGCGAACCCACCGATGAGGAGTGTCTGCTGGGAGCTAAGGTCAGGTATGCTAGCACCTACCAGTCCACCCACCTTTCTCACCCTCTCCCAGTACAGCTGGAGTCGTGACGTGTCAGCAATGCCCCGGAGACTGAGACTCAGCAAGAGTCGTGACCGTCCCACGATCACAAGTGCACTGTGAGGTCTGCGCTAAGAGGAGATGCCGAGCGTGTTGTTTCAGCCTGTCGCGAGCTCTTGGAACTGGATTGGGTCAGGACCCTCGGAGCGCTTGTGTTTCTCTGACCCTAGCTACGTCTGTAGAATCAGCAGCTGACTCCACACCGGCCATGCTATGCAGATCGTATTCAGGCTTGTGACTTGGATGCACGACATGCGATCCGTTTCGTAGGAGTGGGCTGCTGCCTGGGCGCCTGCGGGGGAAGTGCTTTGGCTGCCAAAGGATGCGAAAGTGCTGGGGGTGGAAAGTCGCTTCCTTCGTTTTGGTTGTCCCACATCTTCAAGAGCCAGAGGCAGCAGACGCGCAAGCTGAGCATTCATTGCACATCTTCTGATTATTCCTCTTCTTGTAGTTGCGTCATTGTCCTAGTGGTGGTGGTGGTGGTGGTGGTGGTGTTTGTGGCTGTTGTTGCCGCTGCTGCTGGTGGTGGTGCTGCTGCGGCTGTTTCTGTTGCTGTTGGTGGCGGTGGTGATGGTGGTGTTGGTGTTGGCCTGGTCGTTGTCGCTGTGGTCGTTGTGGAGTCACTACTGTCACTACTGATAGGCCTGCCAAGACTTCCTGCAATGATCATCCTTTGTATGCCATGTAGACGTGAGCTCTGAGATAATTCAGTCGCCCCCCAAATGTGAGATTCGAGGCTTGTCGCTGCCAGGGCGGCCCGAAATCGACGCATCCGACTCGCCCAGGTGCGATAAGGATTCATGTTTCATTGTTTTGCACCCGCGTCTCTGGATATCCACCTGTTGATTGACCAACCTTTCGTGGGCCACAGGGACGGATTGCAAAAGCAGCAGGACACTTCCGGGCACGACATGAGCAGTTTTGCTCCATCTCTTGGCAGGAGTTTAAGGCTTAGGCTTAGACTACGGCTTTCATTCGATATGGACATCGTGGGCCCGGGAAGACGGAATTCGCCGAGAGAACCTTGCCATCGCTGCTGCACGGCCCGCCCGGGCGGTCAAGCAGAGACGTCGGGGCACTTCTTTCAAGACTTCCTAGCCGTGCAGGCCTAATTGTCGTCGCCCAGACCCAGCCCCCTGACTCTGCGAACGCCGGCCGGTGTGCTAGTTTTCGTTATGTTAGCAATTTTGGCGGGCATGTTGTCGGGCATGCAAACAAGGGTGTCACGAGTTTGGGGGATGCTGCGCATGTCAGCGGGTAGCTGGTTGACCTAAGATCATCAGGCAGGCATTTGTGAAATGAACATGCGACATGGGGAAGGGGTCCTTTGCGCAAGGGTCTGTTGAAGGGTGCGCGCAGGGACAACATCGGAAGGCATTTTGCATCCTATAGGAATACAGATAATGAACCTAAGACCACAGCTCACCTGGAATCCATGAGGCTTGTCCAGCTATGTCTCTTGTTCTTGCAGCCGAAAACTGAACGAGTAGGTCAGGTTGCTGAAATCTGAAAGACAGAGTTACGTCACATGAGCCTGGTGCTGTCTGCCAGAGCTGCGATTCAGTCTTGCAAAGATGCAGGCTCTGCTGGCCTCTCGACGCCCAGGCTCGGAGGGGAGTCCATGGACAGGTCAGGTAATTCGGTCACGTGCTGCTGCCGCTGAATGTCACGAAAGCTAGCTGAGTTCCTTACCAACCGAAAGGTTGCATCTAGGGGTGTGGGGAAGGGCCCCCGGCCAGGTGGGCATTTTTTGCGCTGTGGTGCTTCGCACTGCTTCCGAGTGGAAAAACGGCTCCCCGATGATGCTCATGATGCGCGTTTGTTGGCCCCAAGAAGCTCCCAATGATGCTCGTGATGCGGGCTTGTTGGCTCGGATTGGGCTCCAAGAGGCCTCCAATGATGTTCGCGATGTGCGCTTGCTAGCTCCGATAGGGACCCACGACATTCCCAACGATGCTTGTGATGTTGTGTACTTGTTCTATCTGGGGCGCCCGACCCGAGGCCATTGGCTTCTAGGCATGATATATACATGTATTTATGGTATGTTTGTGCATATGCAGCTCTGCTCCAACCTCTTTAAACAGAAGCTGAAGCGACCCGTATCTCGTGGGCATCCTAATGTTCGCCGTTTCCTGAAGAGCTTTCAGCAGCACTTTACTTTGCTGCTGGCTTGCTGGCTCCGATGCTTATGATGCTTGCAGCTCATGATGCTCACGCGTCGCCTACTTGTTCTATGTTGGGCGCCCGACCTGAAGACATTGGCTTCTAGGCATGATATACACATGTGTTTATGGTATGTTTGTGTATATGTACATATATATATATATATATATATATAAATATACGTGTGCATGAAGCTGAAGCTCTGATCCAACCTCTTATATACTGTTTTTCTACTGTTTCCGCGCTTGTTGGCTCGGATTGGGATCCAAGAGGCCCCCAATGATGTTCACGATGTGGCTTGCTAGCTCCGCTCACGCGTCGCGTACTTGTTCTATGTTGGGCGCCCGACCTGAAGCCATTGGCTTCTAGGCATGATATACACATGTATTTATCTTAGTTCTCCAATACAAAACTTTTAAACTTTTGGGGTTCTTATAGTTTAGTAGTAATCTGAAAGTTTAACCTTTTATTTCTGTGGCTATTGGGGGAGTAAGTTACGTTATGGTATGTTTGTGTATATGTACATATATATATATATATATATGTGCATGAAGCTCTGATCCAACCTCTTCCATATACTGTTTTTCTACCATTTCATACTATACTAGTACTCGACTATACAGTCATATGTAGTAGCAGCTGCATCTCGACGAACAAGAAGCGCAAGCAGAGCATGGCTTGGCCCAGTGGGTGTCACCCACATTGAGGGGGATGGTATTGGTGCTCATTCGAGGGGTTCAAGAGTTAGGGTTTCTGTAATTGGAAGTTCAGTAGGCGTGTATGCATGCTTGCCTTCACTGGAAAAGCCTCGGTTGTTGACGCTTCTAGCTTTCGTCCCAGTCCCTCCGCCGCAAGTCGGCTCCACAAGCCAACAAGGGAGCTCCCAAGCTCAGAACACGCAAGCTTGAGCGAAGGCTTCCTGGCCCGCCTTCGCCGAAGACCTGCCGCTTCTTCAGGGCACCGAAGATGCAGGAAGACACATTGAAACATTGCACTTCGCCGCGGACTGTTTTGCGCACACTGGGGGTGCAGATCACACACGCAGGAAAGGTCATGTCGGGTCCGGTGGTCCAGCATCCCATGTCATCCGTGTACCACTGTCTGTGTCTGCTGCTGCAAAAATCACCAGAGGCTTTTCTACGGTGCTTTGCTGATGGCATTACGGGAAGTCGCGGAGGAGGTACGCTGCGGAACTAAAAGAAGCACAAACGCTCAATTTGCCTCTGGAGTAGGCATGCCCACCTTGGCTGCTGCTTCTGCTGAGCTCCTATCCCAGTCTTAGCGGATGATGCTCAATGCCGGTCATGCTGGTATGGGGCCCGCCTTTTGACAGCTAGACCATTCGGAGCATGCAGGGAGCGGATTCCTGCATATTGGTGCATGATGTGCTTTCTGCTCGCAAAGTAGCAAGTGAGCGAGGATTCGTTGGCGAAATGGCTCGATACAGAGAAGTTGTTGGGCACTTGTGACCGTGCTGTCGCAGGACTTGATTGCGCAACGCTGCGCGTCGGAGGCCCGAAACGTGGTGTGCGAACACCTGCGGCAGCATTGCTCCTCGACAAGCAAACATGGAGGAAGTCAGGCAGGCGTCGGCTAAACTCGAGGAGCAGAAGAAGGCTTGAATCCAAGAGACCTTTGCTTGTGGACATATTGTAGCTGCCAGCCATGCGAGAGGGAAAAAAAAGAGACCTCTGTCCTTCCTCGTCAGATTGGAGACGACAAGGTTTTTAGCATGATTCTATGGCCGCTGGTCGAATTTTTCAGCCCAGGCACTCTCCAAGCCCGGCTCCTTACATGCACTCGAATTCTTTCAAGGTCGAAGATTTGTAGGAGAGAAGGCTTCAAGAAGCGGTGCAGGTCCTGGTATCTAGAAGTGTGGCACAAGCACACCCGCAACAACTTGAACGGCGGACTTGCGAACCTAAGCGCACTGCACTATCCATTGCTGCGTCGACCTGTGCTGTTTGGGTCACTGGGCTTAGGAAGCTACAGCTCTGGCTTCACGGCGTCGCCCAGAGCCAAGCGGCACGTTGGGCACAGGCCTTGTCGCTCTCAGGCGAGAGCCTCAGAGTCGAACTGAGAGCTGAAAGGCAGGCTCTGGTTGGGCGGAATCTCCTGTTTGCTGAGGGGCCGTTGGGGACATCCTCGAGGGCCTCGACTCCGGAGTCCTCGGGTGCAATCCTTGCGAAGTCGCACCTTGCCGGCCTTCCATCGCCAGGAGCGACAGCGCGTCATTTCGTGGAAACAAGGCTTCAGAAGAGCCCGGAGAGCCCGGCGGAGGTGTGCTGGCTGCGCCTGCCGACCAGCAGGCGGGATGGTTCCTGTCTGTTTCTGAGTCGCTAAGTTTTCGGACTCCGGAAAAGAATGGGTCACCATGGCATATTAAAACTATGACTCCCGACTGAAAATGTCCAGAAGACTCTTGAAAAGGCGCTGTCGGTCCAGCCGGCGGTGGAAGAGCAGGGGCCTCACTTTGCCGGTAAAGCAAGCTTAGATATTCTCGTCGTTTCGGGGTCGCAGTTGGTGCGAGCTTTGGTGGAAAGGAGTTGGCTGGTCGAGTAATCTCGGGCTGACAGCTTTAAGATTGGTCTGCAATAGCCTGTCTGGTTATCTGTTCTCCCAAGCGGCATCGCATCGACATACTCACTTCTACAGAGGGCCTATTTCTCGTAGATGGAGAATCCGAAAAGGAGTGGCCGAACCGAGGAAGACTCAGAATGAAGAGGAGGCTGACGATGTGCTAGTGAGTCAAGACGAGGACCAGGACCTGCCAATCGGTGAAAGGTTGTTGCACCTTGATGGGTCTCGAAGATTTTCGTGTTTGTCAGTTAGACGGTAACAGCAAGGAATTGAGCCATACCATGAATATGAGCATGACACGACATCGGCCCGGTCGGCCGTTTCAGAGCCTTCACTGCTGCAGGGTTGCGGGCAGGAAGTGGGGCAACGACAGCAGCGTCTTCATGTGCCTCTGGCAAAGATCGATCTCACATGCAAGGTTTTACATCAAACCCTTTTGGCTACACAGGTGACTCACTTGCGAGGTTTAACATTAAACCATGAGTCAGTGCCAGATGGCATCTTTCGTGCACGCATGGGCAACGGCCTCCGAAGTGGGGTCGAAGGAAAAGTATGTGACATGAATGTGCAGGGGGAGCCTCGGTTGTTCGCGATTTGTTCACTTCCTCTATCGTCCTCTTGGACCTCGATTCGGAACAGGAGTGCAGTGATGCCTTAGCAATTCCTTCCCCAGCTGATGATGGAATAGAGCCTGGGTTCAAAAATTCCTTCCACAAATTCTCCAGGTCTGGCCGGTGCACAGGCCTAGTGGGAACAACTCTTCAAGTAGAATGCGCATGGAATGCAGAAAGAAGGCGGAATAGCAGGGATTGCCGACATGCCGTTCTGACTCTCAGCCCATACTATACGGGCTTGTGTCGACTTGCCACCAAGGCATTCCTGCAGTCACCTGGTCTGCCCGAAGAGATGCTCGGCAACTCACAAGGTAGGGAGAGGAAGCTGAATCTGGCTGAGGGCGATGTGCATTCACTTGGCAAGCCGCGGGGATGCAAATCTTCACACTGAAGCTGTCTATGTTTTTAACCTTGTGCTGTACATCTGCACGATGCTTCATTACGTTCCTGATCACCAGGAGCTAAGAGAAACAAAGGATCTGCAAGCCCATGCAGCTCTGTCTCTATGTACTTTTGTCTATGCCTATACTTTTCTCTTCTATCTGCCTGTCTGTCCACCTATCTGTGTATCTATCTATCTGTCTATCTATCTAACTATCTATCCGATATATCCATCCATCTGCCTATATTTGTCAATATATCGCTCTCTCTCTCTCTCTCTGCGTGTCTGGCGTCTGTGTGTCTCCCTCTCTTTCTCTCTGTCTCTCTCTCTCGCTCTCTCTCTCTCTCTCTCTCTCTCGCTCTCTCTCTCTCTCTCTCTCACATCCTTTTCCTTGGCTTCGCCTGTAGCTCAGGAGCGAGGCTGGCGTTGCCAGTGCCACGGCAAGTTGCAAAGCTGCAAGCCAGGAAAAGGGCATAGGGGTACTCTAGCAGCGAATTGCACTGTACAGGGCGGCGGATTGGCTTAGCTGAGGTGCTACACTACCGTTCGATCCTGCAACGGTGCGGGCACGTGCAACCTTGCAGCCTCAGGCCCGCTTGGGCCCGCTTGCCACGAGAACCTTCTGTGCTAATCACAGCTTCTCACAGCAGTCTATCGCTGCTCAGCCTGTTTAGAGCAGATGTCGGCTTGCAAATCGAAAATCTCCGTGTCAGCTGTGGTGAGGCTTGGGAGAGCCGAGATGCCCCACAGACATTGCGAATGCTGTCGCCCGGAGCAAATCGGATCTGTGGAAGACGCATGGCGCACGGGCAGTACCTGATTGAAACGACTTGGACGAGTTTGTTTGCATCCTCAAGCAGTTTTTCTTAAAGTTCAGCACAATCCGCCTGTGCAAAGGCACCAGAACAAGCTGTCAAGGATTCTTGACAGAAAGTGCCCTGACTGAGGTTTGCTGTCTCGCAGCAAGGTCTCATCCGAATTAGTGGGCACTGGGCAGCCGGGGGTCGCGAAGTCCTTCCAGAAAAGCAGGCCAGGCCGCCAGGCCCAGGCTGAGGCTCCCAGGCCAGGCGCACCTTAGCGTCGTCACTGCCAGGCTCGGGTCAACATCACTGCAAAGGCCGAGGTCGTGCCTGGGTTCCTCTTGGCCGCGTCTTGTTTTAGAGTCTAGAGTCTTACAGCAAAGCAAAGATTCTTCAGCTTTGACTTGGATGCATGGCTCGTTCTCAAGAATGGCAAGCCAGCAAGCCACAGGCAAGCTACAAGCAGGCTTCATCGTAACGTTCGGTGGTTGGAATTGGCAGGCGCAGGTATCGGGCGATGTTGGGCTCGGCTGCTCGAGGTGCTTCATTGGCCCAAGTCAGCTCGGCCTTCAACCGCGGATGTTCAGGCCCCCTTGTCATGCTTTGCATGTTCGGCGGCCGTGGGTGGTGTGGGCATGTGCCAAGGATTGCAGCAGCATATCGCCAGTCGACCTACCATCGCAATCCTCGCCAGGTGGAGTTCATCTCACATCAGATTTGGCCCCCACTTCCACGCAAGCCAGCTGCGGCAGGTGGGCCATATGGTCACACCGCAACATCTCCAAAATCACAAACCGACAGGTGCGGGTGGACTGCTGACAAAGCGAAGCGACACCAGGCTGCGCACACCGTGCAGGCGCTGGTTCTCACGGGTTGATGTGCTGAAAAGTACTATGCTTTTATGTTTGCGATCCGGTCATGTGTCATTGTCTAGGAGGCGTTTGGGAAGCAGCTGGGCGCAGCAAAATGACGAGCTTCTCGGAGGGCAGGGTTCCCTGTAGAGCATAGTTACGAGGAATCCGGAAGAGTTTCGGGTGTCGTGCTAGCATACCTTACTCACGGTCATTACTGTCAGAGCGTCCGGTTTAGGTCGAATTGGTTTGGCTTGGAAAATTTGAGTCTGAGGCTGCGCTGGTGGGAGCGACAAGTGGCAGGTAGAGGCTGCTCTCAGTTCATGGTAAGTTCACATTGTCCAATCGAAGAAAACTGGCGTGGTCACGTGCTCCGCATCTCGTTCCGGCCAGGGTGGCTCTTGAGACGAAGCCCTGCTGCTGTTTCCAATGCACCCAACGAAGAGGATCGTATGGATTCGCTGTGGCGCATTCTTTGTGGCTCTGATTGGCATTGGCGGTTCTCATTGCCGACTGTAGCATCCTCAGAGCTTGTACAGAGTGAGGTGGTGTGGAGTGGAGCGCCTGCTCCGATGGTCACTCCGCCAGGGCTGGGGATGAGGACTGCATTGCCCATACATAGTGATGGGATGCGAGAGTTAAGTACTCGGCAAGCCGAGGGATGCTAAGGCAGGTGCGCAAAGGCCACAAAAGCTTCGGATTCTGGCCACTCCTTAGCCCTTTGCGGGAGGACAGCGATGGGGCCGTTATCCTTCCAACGGAGCTGGGCCAGACCCGCGCCTGGTCTGCACAGCCCAGTCCAAAGGCAGTTGTTGGACTATGTTGGACTAGCTTTGTACAACCATGCAATGGCCGATGGCTGCCCAAAGACCAGTATTCTCAGGCTGGTTCGCTCCAGTTGCGTTGCCGGCTCTCGATCCTTCACAGCAAGAAAAGTTCCAGCCGAGGCGGGTATGTCTGCCTCGCCACGTATGAAACCATCGCATGTCGCATGAGCTGCCAATGCTCCTGAATGCACAGGTAGAGTTTTATCATGGCATGTGCTTGGGGCAGGTGCTTTTCAACAACCAGCGGCAACTCGTCACTGCCAGCTTTCCGCGGTATCTGTTGTGCCGGTCCTTCCCGGACCCTCGGCACACCCACACAAATCGGTGGATGAGTAGAGTCGGGTAGATGCAGGATGCAGACTGAACTACCGAAGCGACGCCGGCACCCGCACACACTGATTGACCTTGTGAGGCTCTGGACGAGACGACCTCTTCCAGACTGCTGGCCGAAAGCTTGCCTCGACACAGGTGCTCCATCATGCTCCATCGTCGCGGGATGTTCTGCATGCAGGGCTGTGCTCTGTCTGTGGTTTGCCATAGTGCCCGCCGAGAAGTAACAGCGGAGGTTGGAGGATGTGTGGGCCTGCTTGGGCCTGTCGCCAACGTTATGCAGGACGGCATCGGCTTCTTTTTGTCCAGAGGCAGTAAGTTGAGATGACCGCTTCTGATATTTGACGGTGGTTCAGCTCTAGGCACACGGGCCAGGACTGCATTCCTGGACCCAAGGTATATAATATATAAGAAGGCTTGTAGGTCTACTTAGGCGTTGAGCATTGAAGCTTGGTGTCGAAAGGAGCCCGCGGCAATGGACGACGAGGCCCCTACCCGCAGCATAGTGGATTTGACCACTTCGTGCGAGATGGTTTGGCCTTGGAGACCTGCTTCGTGTATTCTTTTGATTGATTTCCCGTTGCATTATTTAAAAAGCATGCCTCAGGCTTTGGTACTGACATCTGCTGAGAACAGTTCTGGGTGCTGAGACAAGGAACGGCCAAGGCAATTGAGGAAGGTTCTCCCGAGGAAGGCAGCCAGCTTGGCGTGAATGAACGGATGCTTCGAGTACCTCAGGTCCTTATCGCTGCGATGCAGGCCGTAGCAGTTGCTGCTTCTGCCGCAGCCCATGCACCGAGAGCGGCGCTGAGGGCGCTGGAGGCGGATCAATTTCGCTCGCGCTGGAAGTCACTTCATCAGGACACTGCTCTTGCCGGGGTTTGCAAGCGAGGAATGTCAGGAGGAAGACAACACAAGCATCAACTCACACGTTCTTGCAGTGATGCATGCATACATACATGCATGCACCCATGCACTCTCGACATACACAGGGTTGCAATTGCCTCCATGCATGGCAATCATGTGCCTGCATCTTTATGAAGGGTGCGGTCCTCGGCGGACATCGTGCTCGCAGAACCTTTGGTTCCATGTTGCCGTGAACTCCCCTTCCCGCAGGTGGCCATGCGCCGAAATCCTCAGCAACTGGGCGCTGCATTCCTGACTTCGCTGTACAGTGGCACAGGAGGTTTGTCGCAGGCAACTTGCCGCTCACCTTCCTGTGTCAGGGCGCAGCCTGCAAGATGTGGCTTTGCCAGAGTTCTGAGTGCCTGCAGGTGGAGGCGGTGCGGCGCAGCTGGCTGATGGCTGCCGCGGCCCGGAAGCTCCTCAAGCAGAAGCGTGCTCGGCAGGACACTATAGGGCAGTAGTGGCAGCGTGAAAATCCAACGATGTCCCAGCATGTCCCAGCGGATGCGATGCCGAGGGGCATGGCATAGCATTGAGGCACCTGAGCCATATAAGCCATAAGTCATAAGGGTTTGCCATATTGCGGCGTGGGGAAACTGCGGCAGGCACAGCAGGAACGCAGCCAGTGACCGAGATGCATTTTAGCCCAATGCTTGTTGGAAGGATTGCGGGGTTGTTTGTTTTTGAGGAAGCACCTGGAGCTGTTACCCGGCTTGTTTCGTGCCTTCAGCAGGTTCGATGCCGGCCTCAGGACGCTCTCGGAACAGCTGCTTTTCTGGACGGCCAGCCGGGAGCGAAAACGATGGCTTCGGACTTCAGCGTCTTGGTCAAAATTGAGCTCCAGCTTCTGACGACGGACATCATTTTTGATGAGCAATAGCCCGGGCCGAATGCTTACGTATGCTGTTGCCAGGAGCGCGAACCTATGGGACTGACATTTCTTGGCAAAAGCAAGGCCCCTTGGCAAGGACAACGGCATTTGGCGAACTCTGACGATGCAGCGTCAACTCTAGCTCAGCACTGCGCCCTCGGGAATTTATTCAGACAAGAAGTGTATAGTAATGAAGCAAACTTGAATTACAGTTCGCCTGTGCCCGGCCTCCAAAGGCACCTAACTGGGGCATCTTGGATGTGGGCTCCAGCAGCACCAGCCCGGCCAAGTCTGCGAAGTCTGGCCTGGACCCGGGCCCTAAGTCTACATCACTCTGTGTCCGCACTGTGCTTTTGCTTGCGTATCCATGCTGCAGTGGTGCAACCCCAAGTATTTCTCGTGTGTGTTGCTGGCCTTACTTAGTGGCTGCAATCTATCCTTCCATGTGCCTCGTGTCCTTCTGCCCCTCTTCTTCGAGCTGCCAAATAACGGGCGCCCATGCATCCGCAACAGTTTATCAAGAAAGACCGATGTCATTGCACGACTCTGCAAGGATGCTGCTTTCGAGATGGCCGAGCCTCAGGACATGGATGCGAGCTTCTCGGTCTGGAGCATGCAGTGACTGTTACTTTCAGTTTTAAATTTCATCGTGTTTGTCGTCGAGCCTGGGCCTTGACGGGGGACTGAGCACGTCTGCTGCACCCCCGCAAGGTTTCTGCAGCATGGCCAGGGGCAGCAGTGGGCCAAAGTGGGTGGATTCCGACGATACGCACAGGACTGACGCTTCAAGAATGGGACTTGCTCGTGTCATGCTCGATCTGCCAGCGGACACTTAAGTAGGAGCAACTCCCGTTCCTGGCATTACATCCGGATTCCTGCATCTTGCAGACTCCCCGCTGAGAGGAGTCCGACAAGCCGACGAAGCAGTCAAGGTGCTGTGCTGTGTTGTGAAGAAGTGCCCTCAGCAGTGCTGTCCGAAGCTTTCTTCTGGCTGCAGACGGTCAGTTGCCGTGTCTACGGCAGGCAGCGCATCTGGCGATCGTGTGACGCCGTTCCAGTGCAATGCTGCCGCTCAAGCAATGGTAACTTAGCTTGGCAATGGGAGGTTGTACTGACACCGCGGCAGCATTCGCCAACACATTATGTCTTGGCTGCTAAGAACACCTCCATCACAAGTCTGCAGCAGGTAGTCACGGAAGTAGATGCCTCCGACGACTTTGATCTCAACCCGGCGCCGCGATTCAGAGACCTGCGCAGAGGCTTGCATGATCGTTGTGCCCTGTAGTGCTCGGCCGGCGATCGTGTGTCAGCGTCGTGCCAATACTGCATTGCCGGACGTTTGGCTGATTTTGGCCGGCTTGCCTGAGCAGTGCGAATCTTATTGGCTGATTGCTTTTGATCCAAGCATGGGCCTGCGAGGCAGTGACCCTGATACTGCGAGGATGGATGAGGCACAGATGCAAGAAGGCCACCTGAATCTTTGGATTAGAAGTGTTGTAACGCTTTGAAGTACAAGCCCGTGGAGCTTGATGCCGTGGGAGGTTCCCGACATATCCAGCAGATGGTTGCCGACTTCGTGCAGAAGGCTAGTTCGCATCAAGCGGATGTGACCGAGAAGCTCGGCTGGGTCCGTGTGCTGCCTGCTGTTGCATCTAGAGATAGGAATCAAGCATGAAGGTGTCTGAAATTGTCCGGTGCGAATTGCATGCGAGTGCATGCTTGGTCGGTTCAGTTTGAAGATGTTCGAGGGTTACTCGCTTCGGAGTGTCGATTCGCGGCTCCAGCCTCCTTGTTTGGCAGGGCTTGTGGCCGAGAGGGCTGTCGGCTATCACCATTTCCATGGCACTTGTGCTGGGATTTTTTGAAAACAACGAGAGAAGCCGACAAGCCCTTGAAGACAGCTCGTTGAGGCTGGAGAAGACCTTGGAGGAAGCCAGACAGGGCCCCTAGGGCCGCTTTAAGCTTCTTTCAATGTCGGGGCTCCGTCCACAACAAGGAGTTGCTGAAGCCGCGAACTTCAGAGTCACATTGTTTGTTAATGCTTAGAATTAGAGAGCCCCCCCCCCCTGATTGAGGTGCAGTGGGATCAGCTGATCTGACAGCCATGCAGAAGGCCTTCGAACATTTGATGGCCCTGCAGAGGCCATGGTTCACTGAGTGAGCGCAGAATCCCGATCTCACGGAGCAGCCAGATCATTGCCCTGAGAAGGGCGGCGCTTGGTCTGCTGGAATCCTTGCAGAGTGGCAGCATCAGGCACGGAAATTCTCTTATCCTACAGTTGGCACTAGCACTTCGGAGTTTCGCGAAAGCTTTGGCTCACATCTAATCATCTATGCGGGTAGACAACTCGACCTCATATCGACACTCTTGTCGAATCACTGATTGGGCATCGTCCTGGACACTGCTTGGCAGAGGCGAGTAGCCAGTGGGAGCTGCGATGACCCGCGATCCCAATCTCCCACGGCTGACTGGGAGGCAACTGGAGTCTCGACTGAGCATGGCTCGCGAGCTGGGTCTGGCACCAGATGCATTTCCGGACGCTGCAGGCCAGTGTCGAACGCTCCTTGTGTTCCAGGTTGTTTGGCCTCAGGTCCACCAGATGCCGATACCAACAAGAGCATGACAGAAGGTCTCTGTTCTCAAAGTGTTTGCACAGATTCCGGCGGCGGAAGGCCAAGACAATCTGAGCTATCAGTAGAAGACTGTGTGATGCACGCATCGCCAGCCGTTTTTGCACAAACTAACAGAAGCTGGGACTAGCCACTCAGTCAAGTCGGCGTGCCTTCATGGATTGCTCTTCGGACTGCGAGCTTTGTGCGGATCCGCAGTCTCTCCAAGTGAAAGAGGCCGCTGGGGCTGCCGCAAGGTCGAGTGGTGAAGCGGCAATTGTAGATTCTGCGGCTGGAGAGCCGAGCTCGAGCAGCTCTCCGGCCCCGAATAGTCCACGCAGCGATGTCCAAGAGGATTGGTGCGAGCATGAAGTCGATGTGTCATCTTGTACGGATGTGCAGGTGTTTCGTGGGCAGTGGGATGATGAAGGGATGTTTTTCTACCAGGCCTATAATGATGAGATTGCAGACTGGGCTGTCCAACATCAGCAGTTCGGCGGCCCGAACTTCAACCCCACCCGCATGACTTGGATCAAGCCCTCATTTGCTTGGGTCCTCTATCGATCTGGCTATGCATGCAAGCATAATCAAACCCGCATCCTCAAGGTGAAGCTGTCTCATGCTTCAGTTGCGGAGCTCTTGCAAAATTGCCAATGTCGCACAGGAGGTGGTGGCTCAAAGGGCCGGGTGCAGTGGGATCCGGAGCGCGACCTCATGTCAGCGGACGGCAAAGTGCCTAGACAGATGCTGCGACGCAGAGCAATTCAGATCGGCTTGAAGGGCTCGCTATCAGAAATGTATGTGAGAAGTGTAGCCTCCATCGAGGACGTGACTGAACTCGCGCACCGTGTCCACAAGGCACATCATGCAACTGACACGCAGTCGGCCATGTCGCATCTTCTGCCGGAGCTTCCGGTCGAGCGACAGTACATGCCATCCTGCCCAGAACCGGTCCTAGCTCGACTTCGGATGCTGCCGGGGGGCGGGCCGCTCCATGCCAGCAAGCGCCGAAGCAAAAAGCATTGATGACAGTATTGTCGCGTACTGAGCAGACTGAGCTCTACTTTGGGCATCCGGTCGGCCTTAGCCGCCACACTGCACAGATGTACAGCAACCCAGGTGCGAGCTGCCAGGAAGCCCTGCGCATAAAAGCCCAAAGCACGCCCTTCTGTCTGCCACCTACACAAGCATCGGCTACAGTTCGCTCGCTAGCTTACAGATGCTGTTGCAACTTGTTGATGACATCTGTGGAATCTGCGGTCCTGTGTGTGATACAACATCTGCAAAACTGACACAACGACTGAGTCAACTCAAAGTCTCTCAGCATGGCATAGCTTGGCTATATATAGCTCGCAGAGCTGCGCAGGCGACGGACTGTTGAAGCTTGCTGCGCAGAAGCTTGAGGAGCAAAAGGCCGGATATGGGCCCAGAGCATGAGTCAGCCGTTAATGCTGAGTGCGATCTTAGCACCATGCCCTGCGAGTCTTGTGAGAATGGAGCTCGAGGCCGCAGCACCAGGCTTCCTCGATACGGCCCTGGATGCTTTCGCAAGCCACAGCTCGAAGAAAGGTGTCCTCGGAGTCGGAATGCCCCCTGTAAGCAAAAATTGCACATGTCATTATTGTTATGGATGTCGCAGCTTTTTGGGTAAGAGTGCGCATGCGTGTGTGCGTCCGGTGCAGCGGATCACGAGCAGCACTCGGATGCACTTCACTACATGCCATGCTCAAAGACTGACAGTGCCGCCTCAGGATTGCGCTTCAACGCTGTGTCGATCAGGCACGCGCGGCCAAAATCCAGGCAGGGCAGTTCTCCCCTGAAGAAGTAGGCTTAGGCGTGGCAGGGTCGTTCAATCGGACCCGGCACAGCGGCACTTCGAAGTCGAGATATGGCAATTAGGTGCTGCATTGATTGAAAGTCAGAGTGCGGAGAGCCAAAACAGGCAGTGGAAGCTTGTGTAGACGGCATAGACGATTTTGTCGAGCGGTTTCCTTCCCCGAGGACTCCACCAAACTCCATCGAGTTGAAGCAAAGCTTCATCTGCCGCTTCGTCCTGCACTTCCCATATCCTGGGTCCGTAGGTCGATTGGGGTGGATCTGTTGTAGAGCAGTCGACATCCCAGGTTGTGCGAACGCAAAAGAGAGTCACTTGGTTTGCAAGCGAAAGCTTGAGCAGTCTGTGGACCGGCTTCCGGTACGATGGCTTGGCCAGGTCGCAGAAAGTCGCAGGGCTACTAGCATTACGAAGATGATTTGGGGATCAAACCTTGCTGATGGATTGCGGATTCCCTGTCGGGTTGCAAAGGATCGCTCTGCTGAAGGCAGCGATGGCAGCGGAGGACGCAGCCACACCAACCCCCGTATTCGGACAAACTCGGACTCTTTGACATATGATGGCAACACAAACTCGAATAACTCCGGGCTTCCTGACCACGTCTTCCTAGTTGCGAATCAGGCACTATGTCCACCGACATGGTGCTGCATGAAAAAGTACGAATAGCTTGTTCCGTAATCACCCTCCTCTTTTGTGTTGTATGTGGATGCTACGGCTCAAGCCTGACTTTTGCTCTTTAATTTAAGCAATTCCAAAGCGCTTCTGGTGTTCACTCGCTTGCCAGCCATGGCCTTCCGAGCTTTGTTCGTGTTCTTGAGCATCGCAGGCGCCTTGGGCGAGGATGTTGCTTCCGCCTTGGCATCGGATGACGTGTGCGAAGGGCAGGATTGCAGCCTGGAGCTCCACCAGCTGCGCGGCATGAAGGTCAACTACCTGGAGGCTTTGGAGGATGTCTCCGATGAGGAGGAGGAAGCCGTGCAAGTGGAGGAGGAAGCAGAGGAGGAGGAGGCTGAGGTCCAAGGCGGTGGCTGCACCGGTGCTGCAGACATGAAGACTTGGAAGAGCGGAGGCAAGAAGAGCTTCGACGCCGCTCTCAACAGCTGTGGCCGTGGCTGCGCTGCTGGCTTCCCTTGCACCAAGGACTGCATGCAGAAAAAAGGCTACTCGGGCAGCTGTGCATCCTGCATGGCTCAGTTGGTGGGCTGTTCGAGGGACCACTGCATGAACCAGTGCATCACCAACGACAAGGCTCCTGCTTGCACGCACTGCGTCAAGTCCGCCTGCCGCCCGAAGATGAAGGCTTGCAGTGGGCTCGCCGTCGGGGGCCACTGAGCAGATCTGAGCTGTGCTGAACCGGAACCGCAGTTGAAGCAACGGTCCGCCCAATGCGGTGGGTCCGGCTGCACCAGTTTTTCTGGGACTATGACGTCCCGGAAGCACCACTGGCTCATTCCATGATCTGGTGTACTTCCAGACCAGCGAACCCGTCGCGGTGTCTTCTGACCCTTTCAACAGAGTTCGTAAGCAGCCGGCCTTGTAATGTCTGCAGGAGAAAGAAGCCTCACCTGACCCGGTCGAGCGCCAGTGCTACAAGTAGAAAAATTGTTTGTTGCACTCTCGGTGCGTTGCCTGGCGCTGCTAGACCCTCTGGATGCAACGGCAGAGAGAGAGAGAGAGAGAGAGAGTAGCCATTTTGGCTCAAGGTGCTCTACATCGTCTTCGCCAACTACGACGTCCCCGCACTCTCGAGGGGGAAGGTGCGGCAGTGAAGCCCCTCTCTTCCTGTGCCGTGGGGAGAGGTGGATCTGCCCCCTTCTCCCGAAAAGTAACTAGTTGACTGCTGGGTAGCTCGATGCTATCGAGCTCATCGTAAAGTTCGGGACAACTTCCTCACGGCAGGCGACCGGGGGACTGCAAGAACTTCATCGAGCACGCCACTGTCGGGGAACTAACGCTGTCCTGCTTCGCGCTTGCTGCAAAGTTCGGGGGGAGTCTGTTCGTGGTGTACCTGCACGCTGGGCGGAGGACAACCACCCCTACAAGTTTGAGCAAGTGGCAAAGTCGACAACCTAGCAAACTCCGACCTACATCGTCCTCAACATCATGGAGGGACTGCGGGAGGAATAGATATGCCGGGTGTGTCGCATCGGGGGAGGCAAGTGTCTCCCAGTGGCAGACACAAGGGGGAACGTGAGTGTGAGAGCGCCGTGAGCTGAATGATAAAACAAATTCGTGTGCCAAGCTGGGGGGAAGGGAATCATTAGTTGGTTGTGTTTTTCAAGTGTGCTGTACTTCGAATCTTGATGCACCAGTGCCTCTCCCCCCATTCCTGGAGCTCGCATGTTCATACTCCTTGTCGGGGGAGTCTGCTTCGCTCAACTCAGATACCTTTTCAACGGCGGCTTCGGTTGACCTTCGCTCTGAACTTTTTCAAAACTCCTGAGACCCCCTGCGGGGGACTTTTCGAGAAGATTTGTAATGCGATTTGTAGTCAGGCCCTCGGGCCTTCGCTCAGCCAACGTTCACCTCGCTCAAATGCATGCGTGGTCATCTTGTAGGGATAGCTAAATTCGACCGACACAACTTTTGCTACTCCCTAGACCTGTTTCCCGAAACTGTGACGTAGAGGGGAAAGGGGGAAATCCTTCGTGTTTCGCGGTTAAGCTTACTCTGGGTTTCTTGACTTGCAACAAAAGGAGGATATTGTAGCTTGCATGGGCCTCCTCTTTGTTGCTATGCTGAACAACAACCCCCGATATGTCATTACTGAGGCTTTTGATGTAATCAGTGGAAAGAACCCGCGGGGACGAAGTCGTTGTCACACGTACTCGTAATTGTATCTCTGGTTTTGCAGTTGACTCTGGCTTGTGAAAGACGTTGCCGCGGGGGAAACACTGGAAGGTTACTACTGAGCGGAGTCCCACCGACAAAAACCCTTCGTACTATGCTTCTTATTGCATCATTGATTCTCGCGAAAACGTTGTCGGGGGATATCCTCAGTTTGCATGTGTCGATGAGAGTGTACGGCTGGATGATTTCGCTATCGTATGCTTTATGGCTGCAGCCTAAATCCATGCCTACACTCGTTCGTCACGCCTCTCGTCCCGATAAAAGATCGGGTGGGCTTGAAGCCCGGGGGCCTTGACCGGCCCTCAAGCCCAGGAGAGAGAGAGAGAGAGAGAGAGAGACTCTCGGCAGGATGCATGGCTCCTAAAGGCGGCCACAGAGGCTGGCGACTGGAGCGGGAATCGAGTCAAGAACCTGATTGTCATAGCCCAATACGACCGGGTCACTAGACTCCTTGCACACCAGTCACAAGCGTGAGGGATTGAAATGCTTCGGCGTGAGAAGTGTGCATGAATGTAGCTTGCTGCCTCTTCTTGAGTCGAACAAATAGTTGGACTGTCTCGGATACACGCTATGATCTCGATTTGCAAAGCCCGCTCCCATGTCCAGAGATTGCAACATCGTCAACAGGAGTGTCGTCAGCGCTTCGGGGAAGTGACGTTTGGCGACTTGCATTGTGATGATGGTCCGTTGTCGTTGTCGGCTTGACATGCGGTCTGCAACTTGCAACTGCCGACAGAAATGCATGGGACACTCTTGAAATCTGCCATCGTCGCGTAACCCTTGCAATCAGCCGAAGTGTTGTCCACAATTAACCTAACTTACCTCATCTGCCATCAACCAACCATCTTTGTCACTAAGGCGTCGACCTAACGCTGGCCAAATGTCAGCTCGAGATTTGGGAGAGAGCTTCTGTGCAAGCATCTTGGACGAAGTGGCTCCACGCGATACCTGGTGCAGTAGACCATTCTGTAGGGATGCAAATGGCGAAAAGGGCATGCAACCAATGCGATCTTTTGGCATGTTACCTTTCACCGTCCGAGGGATTTATCACCTCGGGCAGGTCTACTGCCCGACTCAAAGGTGGATCCCGAAGACTCTCCAGAACATAAAGCCCGAATTGCCCAGCAGTAGTGGTTTGCACAACACGAGGGGCGGTCAGCTAAGGAAATCTTCCAAGCAAATGTCCAGCTAGGCCTAGGATAATTCCACGAGCAGTCGAAATCCGTGCTTCATGCAACGCTCAACAGTACTTCAACCCTCAGACTTTTAGGAGCAGTACAGCTTCATGTCCCGTTTTCAGTGACGGCCTTCAGTGGCAGGCAGCAGCGGTATCGACAACCAGCGAAGCACGTCGACCTAGCAGCCTCAGGCCCTTACTGCCGTTTCAGTGGAGTCATCCGCATGCTCAGTAGACTTGCAAAGTTGCTGCGGTACCAGAGGGGGGGGAGTAGTAAACTTTATCTTTTTTGCTTTGCACTGCGGTCCTACTTTTTAGGTCGTCTGCAATTTGCCTGAGCCATTGCTGAAAATCACCACCTGGCAGCCTCTTTGCGGCTTCTTGGAGACGGCTTGCAAGTACTGCCAAATAAATGCAGCATGTCGGAGCATTTTGACATGTACAGCCGCCACGAGAATCATCGCAGCAGTGCGCCCCAGGTGGTGCTTGGAGGCTGCGTTAGAAGACATAGCGGGTTCGGGTGTCACAACCCTGGCTGCAAAAACTCATGGAATCTCATCTTCCCTTTTCATTCATTCTGGTGCTTGCATTACTGCATTGCTTGAAGCACAGGGTGATTCTTGTCTGTCACTGTATGGCGAAGGCATGCATTCCCGAGGCTTGCATCCCAGGCGACTTCGAGCGAGCCTATAGATTTGGAGCGCTCCGACGTCCTCGCGCCACTCGCCTTGGGCACACCGCTGGTCCCGCCTTCTTTGGGGCCTCCTGTTCCTGCGCAGGAGGCCTGAGTGTATGCACAGCAGCCAAACGTCTTCGCAATGCTGCAAGCTCCCGCAGGAACGTGCCGTCACTGCCTTGCGTGCCGCGATGTTCCAGGAGCCTCCGCAGGCCGGGAGCAGTTTCACTCCTGGAATCCGCGTGTCGGTGAAGAGGCGGGCCTCCTGCGCTTGGCCATCGCCCGAGCTCGTCGTGCCGGCGTGGCCAAGGAGGAGGTTAGCAAGGCACCGTATGCTTCACGCGCTGCCTTATATGCTGCAGTGCTGCTGGCTCGTCATGCTGTCACGTGGAGGCAGAAGCTGTCTTGCAGGAGGAGCGAGAGGCCGTGTAGAAGTTCTGCCAACCGGGGATGAAAACAGATTGTGACAGGCATGCGTGGAGTGTGGAGTCTCGGGCAAAGGAGCAGCTGTTCATACACGGTCAGAGTCCTGCGGCGGGACTGGATATTCACCTCATCACTTCTTGGACCGACAGCTACAATATGGTACGATTGCGGTGTTGAACCAGTGGGGGTTCTACTCTGGTCGATGACAGGCAGAACAGGCTTTGGAGCAGCTTCGACGAGCTGCCGCGGCACGGGACGTCCGTGCCCTGCGCCGTGCCATCGCAGACTGCGCAGATGCCGGGCACCACAGGATGTGACGATGACTGGTGACTAGTACTAAATGCTAAGCTCTCGTTCTGAATCGTAAAATCCCGCTTACCTCGGTTGATTTCAAGCCCCGGCCGGCCCGGCCCTCCATTGAGAGGAATCCCCCTGAGAATGGGCTCTGCGCTCAAAATGCTGCGTCTGCAATGCTGCAGCGGTCACAGTACTGCTTCTCTCTTCTCGGTCGCTGTTTTTACCTTTGAAGCAAGAGGATAACGGTAACGGACTCTAAAACCTCAGAGATTTTTAAGAACCAGGGATAGGATGATTATTGAGCTGTCGGAGTCGTGTTTTGCTCAGTGAGGGGGTTTTGTAATATTTTGTAATTGTGTTTCCGGACATTATTCATAGCCCCACATGAAACATGATATGTCTTTCTTGTTGTTCTAACTCCTCTTGGCCTTTGTTTGACAAGCTTGCGGTGAACCTTCAAAGGAGCTCGGGGCTTTCTGGCTTAGGGCTAAGTGCACAGCGCATGTGCAGATACTCAGGCGATTGCACAAGTATGCAGAAGTCCCGATGCGAAAAGCTTAAGAGGCTCAGAGAGAGCAGCTTTGTTCCTATGCTAGTACCACATTTGAGAGGACTTTTGTTGACTACATATGCTCATAGCTTCGTTCTTAAAGTTGTCTTTAACTTTTGAAGTTCTCACATGTGCACTGTAGACCATCGGATATGGCAGTACTCCTCCATATATTTCAGGCCAACGTATTGCGATTCTGCATCAAGCATCCCAGCCTTCCCAGGCTGGGGTGGATCAGGGGCGCTTGCTGCCGGCATCCACACAACTCTGTGATGCGCTGGGGGAAGTTTCGAAGCAGTGGAGTTGAGTAGAGTCAGGAGTCTAGCCTGTGGGTCTAATTTTCTTAACTTTCAGAAGTTTCGTGGGCATGGCCCGGGATGGCTTTCAGGTTCACTTCAGAAAAAAAAAGGGGGTCCGCGGTGACTGACTCAAGCCTTTCTTGTTGCTTTGCGGAGCACTTGATGATAGTGCCGCCGTGACACCTCATGACTTTCCGGTGTTTGCAGGGCTTCCACACAGGGCATGTCCTGGAGAGACCGTGGGATTATTGAGTCGTGAGGGCCTTCACATCTTCAACTCTGTAGCCTTCATTGAGCCTGCGAGGGTGGAACAGAGAGCCAGACAGAGAAGGCTTGATTAGCCAAGGAGCTGCTGAAACGGGCACATCAGCATGGGCTGGCCCTGAGTGTGCTGACAGAGTCTTGCCTGTAAGAGACCCGGACCTAGCCTGGCATGCTGACTGGGAGGGTTCGTGTCGGAGACTGTGGTGCCATGCTTCGCGCCTCCAGCCCACCCTCCCCGCAGATTGCTTTCCGTTTCCGATGCTTCGCAAGACGCCCAGGACCTGGATCGCGAAAGGCAGGAGCTGCGCTACAGCCTTGCAGAGAAACGAAGTCACCCGGCTGAGGGTAGGATCGCTGAGCTCTAGTTACGTCGCTCACCACCAGAACACATCAGCCAGCTACTACAAGTACGGTTTACCACTCATCCTTGTAAGCGGCAGCAGAGCTACCACCTGTCACAGTAAAGCCTTGTCGGTTGTTTCGATGTCCTCTTCCTGAGGCGGTTTACGCACTGTTTGCCGTGTGCGGCCTCCGTTGGCCCCAGAGCTGCAGACTGCGCTGCGAAGCCACGCGGGGCTCGCACCTGTCTTGAGGTGCGGTGTTTAGCTTGGGGCCTGCAGTTCAAAGAAGTTCAGATTGGTATTTGCAAGGGCAGACCTGGGGCTCTTAAGTAAGGTATAGCAACTCATCAGCCAGATCAGATCAGATCTACCAGTCTACCACGTCCCTAAGAAACAGCAGTCCTCATCGTCTGATCGCAGGCGCGTCGATCGCCGAACCCTGGAGGCTCCTGAGATCTTGAAGCAGTTGCCGGTACTTCGGTGCTTTGTCACATAGCCTGCTAGTCCCGTATCAATACCGACGAACCCACACTTCTGTGCTTAGTAGGTTCCTGGCCGAAGCACTGTGTCTGGAGGTGGCGCTGGCGAGCGGCAGCTATGCCACATGCGACTTTAGCGCAGTGCTGGGCCCGGAAAGCACTCAGGCCTGGACAATGCCGCTCGTGCGCTGTAGACGTCGTGCATAGAATAGTGACGCACTTCAAGTCGCTGCACTGATTTTGAGCCGTTTTGGCACAGTCGAGGGTTTAGGGCTGCAGGAACTGCGAGACGCGCGTGGGCTCGACATGACGGAGGACACGAATCCAGCGTCCTTGGACATGCCGATGTTCGGCGATGCTGCATGGGAGAAGAGGCATGCGTCTTCGGCGGCCGGCAGCAGCTCAGCATGCCCTGCATCGGCATCGGCACCAGCAGCGACGCAGCTGGATCCCACGCAGATGGATATGGACAGTTCACAAAAGTCGATGCTGAACCCGGAGCCACCAGCACTGGGAGGATCCGTCTTCGAGACTCCCCCCCGAAGTCGCCAGCTCTCGGTCGCTGAGATGACCACTGAGGTGCCGGACACGATCCCTGCTGTTTTCGAGACGCCGCCGCGAACTCGCCAGCTCTCGCTCGAGGAGCTGCAGACCCCTGAGGGGAAAGTTCGCCTTCGCGACACCCCGGAGTCGGGGGAAGCGAGGAGCAGCGAAATCAGAGGAGTGCTGAGAGCCTTGGCCGTGACTTCGTCCCCGGCGGCTTCACCTCTTGCGTGCACGGACCCATACCTGGATGCAAATGTGACGGCCGAGGCTTCCGTGGACGACCAGTCGGCGGAGATCCCTGTCGAACAGTTCCAGGACAAAGCCGTGCACACTCTGTCTGAGCTACCGGATGAAACAGGCCACATCCTAGCTCTGGTCTACCAGCTGTGCCTATGCGAGACTGAAGAGAAGGGCGTGCTGATGAAGAAAGGCGTGCTGTCATCCATAGTGGACTATGGATGACAGCACGCCTTTCTTCATCAGCACCCCCTTCTCTTCAGTCTCGCATAGGCACAGCTGGTAGACCAGAGCTAGGACAGTTGTGGAGCATCCTTCCTCTGTGTACTCCTCCTGCAGATCTCGAGACGTGGGCCACCCGCTTCCAGCAGCTGCCCCGCGCTGCCCGTGCTAGCAAGATCTGGGACTCCTTGAACAACCACGTCTGTGAGCTTCTGGGAAACAACCGTTTCTGCAGCCTCACCAACAAGTTGGACGAGGTAGCACAAAGCCTCGTGTCCTGGGCGAACGCAACGGATTCGCCGGGCCTTGGATTCGTGCATATCCTGATCTTTGACCGCTACATCAAGGTGGGCAAAACAAGCGTCCTTCTCCAAAGCAAAGGCGGGCAACGTGAGCCCAATCTGATTCCTAGACTCCGGAACTACATGATCCATGCGCGCCTCCAGAACGCCACTCTCGTGTATGCTCCCATTGTCCTGGTGGCGACGAGTCCTTACAAATCGGATCTGGTGGAGAGTTTTATCCACCTGCACCTGCGATTTCATCACAGCGACATATGCCTGGATGTATCTTCTTCCTCAAAGCAGTCCGTCGGCCAGGAGACTTACTCGGTCGAGGCCTTGCATATTGTCATGAACAGTGTCAATTTCGCAGCAACACGGACAGTGCAGCAGCTTCTGTCCGGCAAGAACAGCTTGAAGTTCAGTTGCGCTACCTGCAAATCCGCGGCCTGCCGATCACGAAAGATGAGCTCAATGACAGCCTGTCCTTGTAGACCACAGCACCCTGCCCCGAAACGAATTCACACGCTGCACTCCGAACGAAGTGCCTTTCTTGTCTAAGAGCATGAGCCACTCGAGGAGGCTCTCGTTGTACAGAGATCCGAGCCGTGCGCATGGCCTCTGAGGAGCTGGCCCGAATGGTCAGAGAGCCCGCTGTGCCATAGAGCAGTCAGAAACGAGTGAGGCCTCCTTGCTAGTGCTGGCCGCGACTTCTTTGTCAGCTATGCTCTGGCTGTGTGTCTCAAAGCTGTCAGGCGGAGGTCTCGACTGAGCTTCTGGGCTTGGCACAAGCAGCAATCGACGGAGGCAATGTGGCGGCGGCTTGGTCAAACTTGTTGCTTTATGCCGAAGCATCGGCATGAAAGTGATCGGCTCAAGATAGCAACGGAGGCTGCCGGGGCGCTTGCACATGGCGTCGGAAGTGTATCGTGCACGCTAATTGTCACTGCGGCTGCTAGTGCTGCTGCCAGTTTCAGTCTGTCTAGTGCTACGGTACCAGTACTCCTCCTCAGACTCCTCCCTCCTGCTGCTTCGACGGCGACCACTGCCAAGACCTGCTACTACTGCCACCTGCTACTGCTACCGCTCCTGCTGCTGCTCCTGCTGCTCCTGCTGCTGCTGCTGCTGCTGCTGCTGCTGCAGTGTGCCAATATTGTGGCGGCCGTTTCGTTGCGTTCGTGGTCTTGTACTTTGCTCCGCAGCAAGCCTTCTGTGATGGCTTCGCCCGCTGTGTGGCCATCGTTCTTCTGAGAAGATGAGAGTACCTCGTATAGACTTGCTTCAGCGTGTCGTGACTACTCTGCACATCTGCCGAGACAGTATGCGGAGCAGCTCGACCTAGGTTTGGCCCAGCAGATATTCCTTGCACCAGCTGCCTGAATCCTGGTGGAAGAAAGCGAAACGTCGCTTGATTGAGGTCATTGCTTGTGGGCAGCGTGGTGCTGGCAAGAGCTTCACGCTGCGCCTGGGCTTCTCTCTTACCGTATGCTAATCATAAAGCTTTGGTTAAGTTCGCACTTGTATTGGGTCTTGATGGTGAGGTTCTCGAAATGAGTGGTTCTTCACTACAGATGTTGAGCTGGATTGCGGTCCCAGTTGCAGGTGTGGCTCTGCAGACCAGCCTGGGGTTCTACCGCGTCTGCTGGAGGCCTGAAATTGGGCCCACGATACGATTGCGATGAAATACGCCTATGTTCTCCCAGCACTTGAAGGAGCTTTTTGCTATCAAGAGCCGGGAGCACTGGCGCTCGGACATCCACATTGCAACTCAGGAAGCAGCTAACAGGAGTTTCCTTGAATCAAGAGCGGTTGCAACGGAGATGCCAACTGAAATTCAGTCGTCTAGGTCCTAGGCACGCCTCTTTCCGCAGAATGCTTTGGACCCAAATCGCTGAGGATGTGCAAGCGTTGGAGATCGTGGATGACGGGCCGCCAACCGACCTCTTGAGCCAGGCCCGGATTGAAGCAAAGGCATCGCCGCCGACATCCGCCTACCGCTTTACTACAGTATATAGTCCTAAGTAGCAACGCTTGCAATGTTACTGGTTTGCAAGATTTTGTTCGCGCTGCGCTCCTTGAACTTCAATGGCCTCCCAATCTCAGACTCCTGCTGACAGGTTTTTCAGTGGGTGTCTGACAGGTTCGAGGCTCCTAAGAGAACCCGCCGCGGAGCGGCCATTCCCTGCAAACTGCGATGAGGAAACCCAGAGGACGTCAGCCGAAGAGGAAGCGAAGCCAAAGAACAGTGTGGGACGCATTTCCAGGCCTCAGATGGCGAGACGGTCGAACAGCGCATCGAGGCGTCGGCGTGGGATCTTCAAAGTCCAGGTCGGTGTTTTCTTTGGAAGCGGCCCGGGCCAGGCGATACGTCCCTGCTGCGTCCAAGGCCTGGCAAACTGCTGCAAGCAAGGAAACGCTGCTTTGCTTTCGCTTGAGGTGGCCCTGGCCAGCTTTGCTTGGCCGCAAGTGCCGCGATTGTGTCGGGGGCTGCAACTCGCCGTGCAGAAAGGCTCCAAGAGCTGCTCGGCATCCTCAGACAGGGCTAGGGCGGCTTGGTCTGGCCAGAAGAGAGCAATAAGATGCGCTGAGCTGAGGCTGAAGGACTTGGTGCAGGCATGGTCGATTTTCCCTGTGCATGCACCGGCCACGCTGCCCAGTGCCAGCTGACAGGACATATGGCAGCAGCCCTCCACAAATGCCTCGCGTCACGCAGTCCTCATCCTGCAGCTGACGAGACGGAACCGGCTAACAGGCTGGTGTAGGGATGTCAGGCGAATGCATGCAGCCGACAGCACTTGTCCCCATGTGAGCATTGGGTGCCACGTGCACGTCTATTTCGTCCTGAAATTGTCTTCAATGTCCCGCATCCATCCAGAGAGACCAGGTAGTGGACAATGTCTCGTCTGGTGAGAGGCGTGACCTGTCGAAGCCGCTTGCTGGTCGCGGACCTGGCAGGGGCGGCTCGGCCAGAAATTGGGTCGCTGATGTCTATTCGCCCGCGCAAGTATTCGTCTATGCATGCATCAACACCGACTGCCAACAAACACCCTGGTGGTAGTGTCTTTGGGTGTTTACTTTTCATCGAGCAAGGCGTCTTCACCTGCTGCGGACCGGGCACTAAGCTGGGCCGTCGCATGTTCGGCGGGGCACCTGGTGTGAGGGGACACTCTCACAGCCGGAACTCAGATACCTCTGGTCCGTGGTGCTGAAACATGCTTCGGGGGTGCTGATCTGGTGTGTTTCAGGCCCGGCAAGGTCCGCGGAGTCTGGGGGTGAGCAGCTCGAACTGGTGCCTCGGCTCAGCTGCAGTTTCGGGCCGTTTCGGACCGTAGGAGGACCGTAGGTTTGCGTTTTGGACGCCAGGTTGTCCTCGGCCGGCGCTTCCTCTGCAGACGGACCTGGCAGCCAGGTTGGAGTTAGAGATGCTGTCGCGCTGTCGCGCGCTATCGACTGTCGAAGCCTTGCTGATCTGCGAATCTGTCTCCACGTGGCCAGCAGGTGCTGGCAGCCTTGCTGCAAGACTGCTTTGGACCGGGCTGTACCGCAACCATGATCGCAGCTCGGGATAAGAAGCAAAGAAGTGCACATCGCAGTCCGTCAAACGTGCCACCTCTAACAGCATCATCGATTGCTCACGCGCTTAGGAAAGACAGCTCAGACGCTTTCAGCCCTTAAGCCAGTAAGCACTTTCGATGTAGATGTTGCATGGTGTGCATCTTGCAAAAGGCCATCTGCAGTGCAGCGCGTCACCGAGGTGTGTTTGGCACCAATGGCTCCAGACCGTGAGGGCGTTCTCGCGGTGCTTGAGGCCGCATGTGCGAAAGACCGGTACCACCATACCTATGTCGTTAAATCGAGTCGGCCGCACAAGCTGAGCCATCCAGCTGCCTGAGAAGCTGTCCAGGCACTGGGTTTGCGCCAAAGTGTTGTGCAGACCGCTGACACGCGCAACTTGGGCTGTCTCCGGACGTCGTGACTAGGTGACTAGGCCCTAGGCTTACACCCTCTTGCAGCCTGCGCTTTTCAAGACTCTGAGGTGCTGAACGGCGATTTCAGCCACCCCCGGAGCCACTGGAGCTCCCTTGCACTCCGAAGACGCCCAAGCTGCCACAATCGCCAGTGCACTTTGCTTCAATTTGAGACATATCGGCGGAGTCTTACAGTAGCCCGAAATGGCACGACGCCCTCTTATCAGGGATCTAACACCTGCGCCTGTTTTTCCAGAGCCCAAAAATGTCGGGCATGCCGCAGGCTTTCAACGTTAAGTTAAACTACATGTCAGAGTGCATGGGCTCGGACGGGGTGGGCTGCCTGTGTCTAAGGCTCCTGCAGCAGATGAATGCGTCGCCAGCACGATTCCTAGTCTGAGATTCTCCATGCCTGCTGGCTGCTGCTGCACCCAGAGCACCAGCTTTGTTGAGTAGTGTTCTCACAGTCTTCTCATGTTCTTTGGGTTGTGGCGTGGTAGCACGAGAAGAAAAGCAGCTCATGCTCGCAAGGCCCAGTCGCCCACTGCGCAGCTCGCGCGGTCGTCCTCCAACAACTCTCTTTTTCCGACGTCGCGCCATAGCTCAATGGGCGATAGCAAACACGGCGAGGCAGCCTCACATGATCCAAGGCAGCGGACCTCAGTCTCTGACTCGGAGTCTCTGGAGGAGGAGGACCTTTGAGAGGTGCCTTAAGGTTGGCACACCACTTTCAAGAAGCTAATGCTGTCAAGTCAGACCCGCAGTGGGCTGCTCCGAGTTCCCAGCGCAGATCGTAGAAACTGCGGTGTAAGCCGTGCTGTGCTCGTTGCTCAAAAAGAATTATGTGGCAGGGCTGAGATCTGCACAGGAATGCGATTCAAATTCGGAATGCCTTTGCCAGTACAAGTTCTGTGGACATGTGGCCCAAGGCCACAGGTTCACTTCGAATCGCTTGGAACAGTGGCAGAAGCTGGGTTTTCTGAAGGGGATTCCTGCGTGTACTGTATTCAGAGATGCCTTCGCTGATCGGATAAATCTGTTCCAACGCAAGTTTGCGACACTCCTTCTCCACGCTTCCCCGTCAGCAATAGCAACAGCCAGGGAAATCATAACCTTCCGGACGGAACACGATTACACCATAGAATTGGAGACGAGAGACTCTTTGCACAGTGAATTCAGGGCATTCCTGCACGACCCTCTCCACTTCCCCTCCACCAGGCTCGATTTCAGAATCGAAGAGTTTCACTCTGAACTAGCCTGGTTGGCACGGAGTCTGCAGGTCGGAGAAGAAATGCTTCTGGGAGTGCGTTGAGCCAGCCGAACTCCCCTTTCTCGGGGCTGGGGCTGTTCTCATTCTCGCGCCCGGCATGGCCTTCAGAAGTAGAGGCTTTGCGCTTGTGCGATGAGTTTCGATGGTGAGTTGTTTGCTTCAGGCAAGGTTTGCCTTGATTTCTTCCTCGCAAGTAGGTAAAGGTAGACCGCGACTGTACGGGGCTTGTCTTGATGCTGTGGAGCCTTCGCGATGGAGCCTTTGAGCCTCACTGCTGCTGGACATGGGCACAAAATACCTCGTACGTACACGTGTAGGCAGATAGACAGAAAACAGATGGATGGATGCATGGATGGGTAGATGGATAGACGGACAGACAGATCGGCACATTTAGTTTATGCAGGTAAGGACTGTTCAATCGAGCTAACCGGATGTGTAGTGTACAGAACTCCACTCCGAAGCACCTCAACAATCACACTAGTGCACCTTGTGAAACATCCTTGTCACGGTCATTGTATCTACATGCGCACGACACCAGCCATTACACCTGTGAAACA